CTTTAAGGGTTTGTGACTCTGCAGACCGTTTACATGCAGAAAAAGCTACATAACACACAAGGGGACGGGTAATAACCGGAAAAGCATGACATGGGACCTTTAAGTATCAGAATCAGAATACCTTTGTTCGTCCCACAGAGGGGAAATGTACATTGTTACAGCAAAAGAGAAGATGGAGAAAAAAAACAAAACCACTATTAAAGAGGGCATGCACATTATATTAAATAAGACCTGAGTTACACCTGGGGTAAAGTTCACCCCAGCTGTACCTTTACCAGCTTTAAAAACAATTAACAATCAACAATTATAATCAAAACTTTTATATATAATATATATTATTCTAAAATGGGCCAATCTGCATAATGAGAACTTTTACTTTTGGTACCTTGAGTATCTTACTAATACTTTTGTATTTTACTGAAGTAAGATTTTAATTGCAGGACTTTTACTTGTAATAGAGTATTCCTACACTCTTGTACTTCTACTTAAGTAAAAGGTCTGAGTTCTACTCCCACCTCTGAAGAAAGCACAAACACTGATGTCACCTAAACTGCATTCAGATAGTGATGAATCCCCTTTGACTCCTGACAACATACTTTTAATTACATCTCCAAAATTGGGAGAGTAATAAAATAGTGCGCCACACTTTCAGAGATCTTCTGAATGCATTACATCATGGAGGAATCGACAGAGGTCTTACCCAATACACATGGAGTCATGTAGTATCCTCCTCTGAGTTTAGGATCTGATGGGACAAAGGGTTCACCTCCGCACAGCACCGTAGCTCCCTGGAAACGGTACGATTAACGTCAAGGATATCAAAATTGTACTCGCTTCACACGAGCCTATGAGGACAAGCCTTACCTCTTTCTTTGCCTGGTCAACAAAGGACAGGACTCTCTCCAGGTGTGACCCGCTGACCAGGGCTCCCATCCTGGTGCTCTCCAACAGCGGGTCTCCTATCTCGATCGCCCGCGTCCTCTTCACCACCTCCTCCACAAACTCTGGCAGAATGCCCTTATGAACAAACACCCGCGTCCCGTTGCTGCAGACCTGTGATACATTTCATTAAATCAAGTATGCTTCCATGTGCAGATTGGACATGAACATACAACATTCAAACACACTATTTACCTGGCCTTGAGACAGGAAGTTGGCCATGAGCGCTCCCTTCACAGCGTTCTCCACATCACTGTCCTGAAAGATGAGCAGAGGAGATTTCCCCCCCAGCTCCAGAGTCACGTGCTTTACTCCCTTGGATGCCATCTCCATAATCTGTGTTATCGAATTATAATACAAATAATTAATATTCCCATTTATTACCTGTATGTTCCAGGATGATTTTATTCAATATATCATGCTGATAAAAGCAATACAAAGTTGACAATTAAATTCATTTTATTGTCAAACGGTTTAAAAAAGTGCAAAAATAAGACATAATGGAGATATGTGAAATGACACCCCGATAAACTATCCAAGGCTTAAAGTAGGGGACGCTGAACATAATAAATGTACAATATATATTACTAACACATCGGGATTTGGAGAGGTCATGTATCGTACAGGAACATTACAAGCTAAACAAAACTTAGAGGGGCCTATTCTGCTCATTTTCAGGATCATATGTGTCCTCTGTGCCTCTACTCGGGCATGTCTCCATGCTTTAATGTTCAAAAAGCTCTTTATTTTTCTCATACTGCCGGTGCTGCAACACCTCTTTTCACCCTCTGTCTGAAACCAGAGCCCAGTCTGCTCTGATTGGTTAGCTGGCCGGCTCTGTTGTGATTAGTCAAACACTTAGAGATGTCCCACGTACACTGTGTTGGAGCGCTAGCCTGAGTGTTACGTAGGGATGTTCCTATGTTACAGAAGGAAACAAAGGAGTCCAATGGAGGCATTTCAGGCAAGGGGGG